CGGCGCGCGGACGGCCCGGGCGCTGCCTGCCGGCCCTGTGCTGCCTCGCGGCGACTCTCCTGCCCGCGGCCCTGGGTGCCAACGGAGAAGGTGAGGCTTCGGGAAGGTCGGCTCTCGCCGCTTTCGCGCCGACGTGCCGTCCCGCTGGGCCGGGCTTTGCTCACTGCCCCGGTGCCGGAGAGAGCTGGTGACCGGGATCCAGCCGGGTGCCGCAGCACCCTGCGAGGGTGCTCTGCCCTCCCGCCTTTGGGATTCAAATTAGACCTGTAGGTGCTTCTCCATACCTTTCCCCTGGGGTTAAATATCCCACGAGCCTTTAGACTTTGTTTTTTTAGTGGCATCTCCTTGAAATAACTCATTTATGTGCAATTACTTTATTGCTTTCCATATAAAACGTCGCTGCTCGGGTGGGATTCGGGCGCGGGCGTTTCCTGGGGGGCTGATGTGCCTGGCGCTGCCGTAACCAAAACCTTCCCTATGCCCGAGGAAGAGCTGGAAGCATCCAAGATCCAGTTTGCTGTAGCAACATGTGCAGCGTTTGTATTTGGTGCGAGTCCGTGGGGTTCTGAGGCCGCTCGCAGGAGGTGGGGAGTCTCCCACCATACGTAGACCGACGGCGAGCTTTAAAATTCCGGAGGATCCTCCGGCACAGGCAATGGTAGCGGGGCGGGCGATGCAGGGGCCCAGCGGTGATTCAGTGTCAGGGTTTCGGTCGGATCAGCTGATGATCTGGAGATGGGGTTTTTGGCCAAAATCTGGTTTTTATGTGTATTTTGTAAATACCGAGCGATTTCACTTGGTTTTGGTCTGCGCTCCTGGTGGTCTGAGATGCTTGAGTCGGTCCTTCGTCGGTTTTCCTTTGAGCACAGAGCAACGTGACAGGGGAAAAAGTGCTGAATAAGCAGATTTTTTTTTGTTGTTTTTTTTGTGTGTCTTTTTTTTTTTTTTTATAAAAAAGACCTGATTTGCTCTCCTTGCTACTCGAGTAATTATTACAGCAGCCCTAATTACCTGCAAGTTTTAAAATACTGATGTAGATTCCGCTCCTCCTCCACCTTTCCTGGCAGCGTGTAGGCAACTCCTGCTTCTCCATGGACTCTGGAACCTGTTTCTGCACGTATGTGGAAACGACGGTCGATAACCGGCCGCGCTTTTACGTGGCTTTATGGGTTGGTTTGGTGGCGTAAATTAGTCTTGTGCCGTTACTCCTCCGGTCCCGGCGCTAGTTGTGTGCTCGTAATGAGCACGCGTCACCTCGTTTTGCTTGGAGATGAGTCAAACTGGGTTCAGGTACGACGCGGTTGAGCGGCGGAGGTCGGGGCGCTTGTACCCGGAGCGGGGCAGAGCCCTGCCCTGGCAAACGTGTGCTTGCCTCCGTGGTGTGTCCTTGCACGGGATGGCTGGAAGGGATCTCCCAGGGTTCAGGGAAGAGTTGAGGTGTGGAGGTCAGAGCTCCACGGTGCCAACAAGGCGCCTCACTTGCGGTGTTGGAAAGAAGACACCCATGTGGTGGGTTTTGGCTCTGATGGAGCCCCAGGAGATGCAGGTTGGGTCTTCCTGCAGCGAGCAAGATGTGGAGTTGGATGATGGGGAAACCCAAGACTTGGGGCAGCAGATGGGATGGCCTCTGGGTCACTGTCCCAAAAGCGTGGAGCGGGGAATGGCTCGTGTTGTCATGGAGGCTTCGTGGTCTTGCAGAGCTCTCTTGATCCTTTGATGAAAGGAGTAGTCTTTGCAGACCAGCTCACGCATGCGGAGCTATGGGATCTGCTCCTCGCAGACCCAGGGCCAACCTCGTTTTCTGGGTTTGTGAGTTGATGATGACAGTTTAAGAGGTCCAAAGGTGCCCATCTCCTTCTCTGAGCCTTTCTGATGCAGGAATTTGTCTCAGCATAGCAAACAAGTGTTTGTCATGCCTGGTCCTGCTGGGCAGGAGTTGGGGGAATGACATCCTGCCGGATGCATGCCTACAGCCTCCTTCATCCTGCCGTAATGCTTAAGAAACCCTGCTGCAAAGCTCCTCTGTGGAGCCTGTTCTTCTCCACAGCTGCTGAGAAATGGATGATCTCAGGGCAGAGCCTCGGGCTACCTGGACACAAAAAGGGTCCTGTCCTCAGCCGGACCCAGCTCCTGGCAGCTCTGGCACGCTCCATCTCGTTAGCGACTCCAGTGCCTCACTCTTGGTAAAGATTAACCCACCTGAGCTCTGGGGTTTCCAGGAGAAGACCAGCGACGGGAGCAGCCATGCCGGTGAGGTGATGG